ATGCAACTGTTCCTGCCAGTTTTCTTTCCATTTCCTTTGTCCTGTAAGAAACTGATGCGGCTACAGTCCACGTTCACTCACCCCGTGTCATGGTACCAAGATAACGTTTTCAGATTGAAGATGGATAATGGCAGAGATAAGGCAGTTTCAGACTATCAAATTTAAAACAATGTCTAGCATCCCGTGCCTGATAAAGTACTTGGTTAACTATTTTTCCGGGATTATTAAATCTACCCGCGAAAATATGCCGCGTTAGTGAAGGCATCCAAAAGAATACCGTTTGAGTAATCACGTCCGCAAAAGTGTCAGGCGATAATTGAGAATATACGCAGAGGCGGATATTGTTCTCCAAGTCTTTATTTAGTTCTCTGCGCCAAACAGAAGAACACTGAAGCAGCTGGACTTGACCACGTGATGATATACATATGTACCATGCACATTCCCGTGCAGGAGGATCAAAGCATTTGGCAATGAGAAAAGTAGATTTGGGAAAAGTCATGATGTTGCACTATTTTGTTTAATACCTGTATATATATATATATACACCAAATTTTCACTGTTTACACAAATAATTAGGTGATTCATAGGCCCTTTGTTCTACTCCATACTGTTCTGAGGTAAATATCCAAGATGCTTGACACTAGACATAGACAAAACGCCCATATATGTGTAGGGGGAGAAACGGAGCTCTTTCGTTCACCAAAGTTAAGAGTAAGTCGTTTTGGAATAGAGCAATTTTATTTTCTAAACCCGTTGTTGACCTAATCATTCGAACTTGTGTGGTTCGCGTTCGAGGTTTTGGGGTAGTTTCAGATGTGATGAGTGATCAAGTCATGCAGCAGCCCACTCGCTTCAGATGTCATGTGACTGGGCGGTCTCGCTATCGACCTTACCAGTAGTGAAAGGCCTCATGATTATTGATCTGTATTCTCACCCATTAGCCCTGTAGATCGTTTTGACACAAGTACAGTCAGCCCGTCCCAGTTCATTGACTTGTCTTCTTCTTAATCAGCGGCGTACAGTTATAGCAATGACGCTGGAGGCAGCCATCCAAGATCGGACATGAAAACAGCCTCACAAAAGTGCGCACATTACCTAACAAATGAGACTAATCGAGGACAGTTCTGAATCAAAGAGGCTATTTAAAACAAATGTCAAGGAAAAGTTTCTACCAGGAACAGAATGAAAAAATTTGAAAACAATAAGAACCTATGACAATCATGATTGTTCGCTGACTATATTATGCCCTTCCCCTGCAGTGCTTATATCTCATATAATGAGATATCACGTGATTAAAATGGGGCTGAAGTAAACATGCTTCAGGATAAAACTGTGCACAGTGCAGACCGACTGTTATTTTTCCTCTAACCGATCACTTCTCTCGTGTAAATTGATGATGAGTGCATGTCAAAACTGGTATCTATTGAAAACTTGCAGTTTCACCAGTACGACAAATGTTCAAGGAGTCGGTAGTAGACGCGTGGGGGTAGAATTTCGAGAGAGGAAAACCATACCAATTTCAAGTTCAATAAAAGAGACATCCGTTGGTCAGCTAACCGGAAACAGCAGACGCTCACCCTCATTTTTGCCAGTGAAGAAAAATGGTTCTGTTTTGCAGAACGTTTTAGATAAAGCCACTGTTTGTTTCTACGACCAGGGGAATATCTTGCTGATGAGAATCTTACGTAATATGATTTCAATTGCAAGTGAAAATCGAAAGTCAATCGATGAATCCATCTACTACCGGCAAAGATTTGGCCAAGTAGATCATTTACGTAACTTATTAAGGTCATATACATTGTAATTTCGGCTGCATAAATGTATAGTTATTCAACAGGTCGATAACTGTTCACTTAAAATGCACGAAGTTAATCAATATGATTTTAATCTGTGTTAAGAAATTTTGACTGCCAAGTTATCACAAGTGCGTACAAAACAAGTTTTTCATCAATTGCACTTGATATATAATGGCAGAATAATTACAAAGCTCTCGCGATTTCTTCAAAAATAAAAGAGATAACCGATTGCCCCCGCCCCCCAAAAATAACAGTTGGGAGGAACAGGAATTTGGCTAATCTAACAACCCCCTGAAGTACTTGAAAATGACCACTCGTGAGTGTCGTCCGAATAGGAATGAAGCCGTCGGTTATATGACATTATGAAACATGGCAAGTTTTTTCAGGGATGGATAATATTGGAATTCATGGGGTCCCTATAGGATGGGTGAGAATGCAATTTAGAAATGACGGTGTTGGCTTACCTTGAAGTGATCATACACATTGCTTCGTAAAATCTTAGAAGAAACTGCTATGAAATGATTTTGCTGTATCTCTTTTTTACTATCTGTTTTTACTATTTGTATGGGATATATATATATTATCTATTATTATTAAGTTACTTATACAATTATTTTATTTGATGGATATAGACCATATGTCATATATTGTATTTTACGATTGCTTATTCATATCCTCAGTTCATTCAGTGTGATTTACTGAATGAGTGAATTGATCCAAAGTGATATACTGATCTTCCCGAATCCTGTGTCACAATTGCCACTAATATTACAAAAGAGAAACCATGAGCCATGCAATCCTTTTCCGCTGTGGTTGAATTTGACGGTTCAGTTGTGCTCCACAGAACTACCAATGCTGATTTGCCTACTTATGAGTAGTTCAGTATAAAAGTCGTTTTTGTTCATCAACCGATCCTCAAGGAAAATGTTCACATTTCTAGGAGTGCCCCATGGTATGTATATGTAAATTCCTGAAAA